GGACCCAGACACCGACGATAGCCCATTACGAATCTCGCACCGGCGAAACAAAAGGTGGGAGTCTTTGGTTGGCGTTTTTGCTCCCCGGAAGTGGTCGCATCTGTCTGGCAAAATATTGTTTGTACAGGGGAGCTGGTGAATCGGAGCTCTTTCAAGTGTTTGGTATGTCTGCTTGCTCAGTTGGAGGACGAATGGTGCGTAACTGCTGATTCGAAGCGCTACTTCGCCGCGTGTCTAGGTTGGGGGGAGGGGAGGTTCCGCGTCCTTCGTTCTTTTTGCCCGTAAGGTTTTTATTTCCAGTTCCACGGAACACGTCCTGGTTTGACCTATGTAGCGTAGTTTTTGCAGGGGAGGTGTTGAATTGATATACTTTGAAATACCATGTTTTCAGTGTTTCTTGTGTCTCCTATTACTCGTCAAGGCAATTGTGTCTTCTCTAACGTGTCGAGGTTCTGTCATTTGCTTTCCTGTGTTTTTTTTGTTCTAAAACAGGAGAAGCCGCAGCAGCAAAGGAGGGATTGCGGCAGGAGAAACAGGGGCGGCAACGGCAGCGGCAGCAGCAGACGAGGCAGCGCCAACAGCGTGGAGGAGAGCTACACTCCTAGAGAGGACGGGGACGGGCAGGTGAATGTTGTCATTGTTTCGTTGTTTTATGAGAGTGCCATGTGATTTGTGATGACTTGTATGTAGGATGTTATTCTCTTGTGACTCTGAATGACGACGAGTATCATACCCTAGTGGCGAGGACCGGGACCGACACGTGATTGCACTTTTTGTCATCGGGGAAGTTCTGCAGCACTCAGTTCTCTGGTGGTGTGCGATGGAAAAAAAAAAAAATGTTTTCTTTGGGGGAAAACGTTGTGTGTTGTACAGTAGCATCGGGTTAACCCACTAATCCGCTGCAATACGCACGTCAGTCTTGGCGCCTCCTTTTTTTGGCAGGAAGCACCTAAATTTCATGAGAGTGATTTCTCGCTACACGCGATCAACCATCTCTTACATCTCTCTATCCCGCCCCCCCCCCCGTCGGAAGTCGTTGTTAAAATTGGATCATCACCCCATAACGGTGGCGAGGAAAGTTGTCAACAAGGGAGCAGGAAAAAAAAAAATGCAGTGGGCAACCAATGCCGCGGGCAACCAATGAAACGGAAGCTCGGAAAAAGGTCCAAAACAAAAGCTCGGGGGGAGGTTGAGTGTGGGGCTGTTTTGTTGCTTTTTGACATTTGAAGGCTGAGGTGTAGGAATCCACAGGCAACCTTGCTGGTTGCTTCGTTATATGTGAGTTCTTGGGTTCAGACATTATGTATGTGGCTACTTTATTCGTCCCCCCTGTTGTGTTTCGCGCGTGGTGATGTGAGAGCCTGGTTCGGTGAGAACCTGGCGTGTTCCGTGCCGGCTTTGTAGGGATGTGAGGTCAATGGTCTAACGATTACGGCATGCACGACTATGAGTACCCCCCCCCCCTCCCCCTGTTGTGTTGCATTGGTGTGATGAGGTAACCGGTTCTCAAGCTGAATATCTGCTGCACCCGCTTTTCCCGCAAGAGATGCAGTAGGGGGTGTCCTGCAAATTTTTTCTGTATGGCCGATCGTGTTGCAAAGTAGTTGTACCGAGACCTTGGGGCTGTTGCGCGAACGCACATCGGTGAAGAATTGTGCCTTTCCGGTGCATCCCTCGTGCGATGTTGCGAGGGTGCGTTTCGGGCATGGTTTTGAGTTGATTAAGAGTTGCTGGCGCATGCAAGGGGTGTCGGTTTCCTGAAGCCTTTTGGGCTCAGAGCTACGCCCGTACGTGTCTAGTGATGTTTTCAGCAACGCCGTGTACGTTCCCATGCGCCTATTAGCAGTTCGGTTTTACAGCAGTTGACGGGGACAGTCTTTCGACTTGTCTATTTAGGAATGAATGCTGGGGTCCGGCGGCCAACGAAATACCACTGTGATGTCGTTTTCATTGGCAGATTCTCTCGGGCACATTTGTAGACAGTCGTTTTTCTTCGTTTTTCAGTTATCCGTTGCGGGGATGTACCCCGCGCATTTGTTATCCACGCATGTTTATGTGTTGTTTCGTTACAATAGTTGATGGGGAAAGTCTTTGACTTGGCGACATACTGTTGGGCGAGGTGATTCGCAACGAAGTGTAGCGCTTTGCCTTGGTGTAGAGCTTTCGTTATTGTTTTTTTGTTGATAAAAGGCACTGTAGTTCTCTTTGAGCACGTGCGTATATAGGCAGCCGTGTTTCTTCGGTGGTTCTCAAAAATTTCGTTATTGTTTTCCGTCACGAGGATGCACCTATTCCGCAGTAAGTCGTAAGATGTTCGTGATTTGGGAAAGATAGTTGGAAGGTTGCCCTGTTTCAACGTCGACGGCCGTAGTAATTGTTGATGCTTGAGCTTTTGTTTTTTTGTTCAGTCAAAACGTGCCGCCTCTTGGTTCCAAATCTTTGGAGCGGAAATTTGAGAAATTATTGGCTCGTTTAAAACGGCCCTTACCTGGTGTGTGTTGCTTCTAAGCGATCAATTCGAATATATGCAACGGGCGTAAATTGTACACCCCCCTCAGAGGATATTATCAGAAAGCGACAAAATTGACGTGAACAACAGAACGTACATTGTTCCCAGCAGTCTCCACTAGAAGAAACGCACCACATGCTCCAGCGGACATATTGTCCCCCACTCCCTCCCGGGGAAGTTCTCTGGCTATTCCTCTGGAGGTTTTCTTTGGAATCCAAACCGCAATCCTCTAGAGGATTGTCCAAAAAAGTGGAAGCTCTGATTTGGTAAAAAGGTTATCCCCCCAGAGGAAACCCCTCCCACCGAAAGCTCTGGAGGATCACTGTCCGAAATCCTCTGGAGGAAGTTGTAATGTATTCCCCGTGGAGTACTTATTCCAACGATCCTCCAGAGGATTTCGGGCGGTGTTCCTCCAGAGCTTTCGGTGGGAGGGGTTTTCCTCTGGGGGGAAAACGGCTTTTTACCAAATCAGAGCTTTTGCTTTTTTGGGCAATCCTCTGAGAGTTGCGGTTTCACCTATCCTCTGGAGGATTTTGACCCTAGCCATTTGTCTACCTGTGTAGAGCTCTCGCCATGTTGTCGGTACTGCGCAGGAGGACCCCTCGGAGATGTTCCACATACATACATGTTGCTACAACGACAGCAGTAGTAATATACATAGATGTCGTAGGAGAGTGGAGTTGTGCTGTCACGGCGTCTTCCACGCACTCTACGGGTGCTCGTGTCGACTGGAGTCTTGTAGGCCGAAATACAGGAGTGGGTTGGGCTCCCGGGTTGTGGAGGCAAACCTGCCTGCAACAACTGAGAAGGCGGTGTTCTACATACTACAGTATCCCGCTCAACCTTTTTTTTTTTTTGCGGCATGGTTGCATATATTGTCTGCACTTTCCCGGAAATCATAATTATTATCTTGCCGTTTGTGTAGCCGAATTAAATTTGGCTCTGATACGTTTCCCTGCGTGCAGGCAAGAAGACCTGAAGAACAAGCGAAAAGGCCCATCAGCCCCACCCAGCACACACACACAAAGGAAGGGCTGATTATGCACAGCCTCTCCGAACGGTCTGGTTTTGCACCCTGCTTCTTGTACTCCCGCTCGACGTCTGTCTGCGTCTGTGCTTGTCGGTCTCAGTCTGATCGCCTCTATCGCTCTGTCTCTCTCTCGCCTGTGATTCTTGTGACACCACACACCACATATGCATAGATTCGTTGAGCGGCGAGCGGAACAACAAAAATCGTGACCGTCATAAAAAAAAAAACAGCCGGGCCATTTTTATCATATTTAGAAATGCAAGATTGCCGCAGTTGGTAACATGTTACTGATCCACTGGTTGGTGTAGTGGTATCGCGTGGAACTTTCAGTCTAGCGACATCGATTCAACTCCGTTTGTGCCCTTGTGTTTTCCTTGAAAAAAATGGGGCATTCAGGCAGGTGATCAGTCTCTCCACCTTGCCATCCAAATACCCAAAAAATAACTAATGACGTGTTTGCGCATACAACGAAATTTGCTATACTGATGCCATGTAATTTCTGTTAAAAATAAAGTCTTTCCACCGTGCGCAAAAAAAAAAAACCTGAAGACGAAGACAGATGATCCGATGATCCGCATTTGGCCGTGTAATCTCGCCGCGCACATACATACATGCAGCCAGCCGTGGAGTTCGAAGGGGTCAGGAAAGATGTGCACACACATATGCACCTACATTTGAAAATTGAAGCGATAGTCACACCACGCCCTGTCCTCCGAGATGTCGGCGATGCACAAATCCCTCCCCCTCACTGTCCTGATGACCGTGCGATCTACCCGTACTGTCTCCACCTGCAGCGCTATGAGCGCAGCGCACAACTCGAGCTCTTCCGTTTCGTGCTCATCATCTTCTTCCTCGCTGCCAACCAACAGCAGGACAGCTGCTCACAAGAGGCAAAGCTGCTCATGCATCAGTTCTCCGGGGCTCATGGCGCCGTAGCGGCGTTTAAGGTTGACATCCCGGATCGGCCTCCTCCTGGTTCTATCCATGACTTGTGTATAGGGGCATGGGGCGGGCACTGGCTGCGCGTCTCGTAGCCCGCTGCCGTCTCGTGCCGTCTCGCACTTCACGTCACAGCAGCCACGGAGCTACGGCTGGGCCGGATGATGTCGGGGCCGCCTCTGCGAAGCCCGCGGGCCACCACGGTCAATCTCCGGCCCCGGCCGAGCCGAGTGGTGCAAAGGCATCCAAGACGCCGGCACCACCGACCACCAACACGTGCGTTAGCTAGCGTAGATTAATTCGTCTCTTTCCAACTCTTTCCTGTAGTTTGTGGTAGAGTTGTCGACGGCGGAGCGCGTACGCGGTAACGTAGAATCTCATTCGGAATTCTCGCATGCCCGCCATATCGCTCTCTCTCTCATTACCGTGGTGGCGTGTCGTCGAGTCACCCACGTCTGTTTTGTTTTTGGCGTGTCTCTCGCACTTCACGTCACAGCAGCAACGCGGCTACGGCTGGGTCGGATGACGTCGGGGCCCCCTCTGCGAAGACTGGCGACCACCGCGGTGCATCCCCGGCGCCCGCCGAGCACCACCGACCACCAACAGGTGCGTGTGCTAGGATAGATTCATTAATCTCTTTCCTATATTTTGTGGTAAATTTGTCGACGGCGAAGCGCGTACGCTGTAACGTAGAATCTCATTCGCACTTCATAGATGCCCGCCATATCGCTCTTTCTCATGACCGTGGTTGGTTGTCGTCGAGTCACACCGACGTCTGTTTCTTTGGCGCTTCTCTCGCACTTCACGTCACAGCAGCAACGCGGCTACGGCTAGGTCGGATGATATCGGGGCCGCCTCTGCGAAGCCTGCCGGTCACCGCGGTGAATCTCTGGCGCCCGCCGAGCAGAGTGGTGCAAAGGCATCCACGACGCCGGCACCACCGACCACCGACAGGTGTGTGTGCTAGTGTAGATTAATTCATTTATTCCCAATATTTGGCGATGGAGTTGTCGACGGCGGAGCGCGTACGCGGTAGCGTAGAATCTAATTCAATCTGACACAAACGGAAGATATTCGACAACGGTTAGTGATCCTTTGGGACTTCGTGGATGCCCGCCATATCGCTCTCTCTCATCGCCGTGGTTGGTTATCGTCGAGTCACCCACATCTCTTTTTTTTTGGCGCGTCTCTCGCAATTCACTTCACAGCAGCAACGCGGCTTCGGCGAGGTTGGAGGATGTCGTGGCCACCTCTACCAACCCCGCCGGCATCCACGATGCATCCCCAGCGCCCGCCGAGCAGGGTGGTGCAAAAACATCCAAGACGCCGGCACCACCGACCACCCACAGGTTCGGGTGCGGGGGTATAGACACATATCTGTCTTATATTTTGTGGAGGAGTTGTTGACGGCGGGAGCGGGTACGCGGTAGCGTACATTCTAAAACAATCTAACCCTAATAGTGTTTTTGGCATAGTCCCTTTGGGTGGTGTGGCGCAAACGGGCGATGTCGCTTTAATAGTCTTTTGGGGGCGCAATTAGCAGGTCTGGCGATGGCGTCGATGACGACGGGGACGTCATTGGGGATGCGGTATTTCTAGGAAGGTTTACGCGTAGGCGATGAGCCTCTCCGTCAATCCGTCGGAAACGTGAGCGATTTGAAATGACTCTTTCTGCCTCTCTTGTTACCGCGCCATACTCGGGTTCCTTTGGCGAAATTGAAGGAGGAGCGACGAGAGTGGTAAAGTAGGCGATTCCGACCGTGGGGTTTTGGAATCCGCACCGAGTTCAGGCGGCGGCAGTTCATCAAATATTCAGGACGACAGGTGAGATAATTACATCAATCAAACCCTTTATACTACACCGTACGTGGTAGAGTATCCTGTCATGTATTCGGTGACAAAAGCTCGCGATATTACAGTCTTTTGCCGCCCCCCGTGTCGAAGCGCCAGACCGTTTGCACTGCGGATGTTGTTCGGCGCAATTGTACGGGCAGCGACGACAGTGGTGAAGACGACTTCGGCAAGGGGGATGAGCGATCCGATTCATCTTCAGCCGGCGGAAGTTCATCGCACGATGACGACGTTAGGTGATGAAGTGACATTACGTCAATGAAATGGTTACGTACAGTTGTTGCCGGCCAACGGCGTACGCGGTAGAGTAACAAACGCTCGCGATTTGACGGTGTTCCCCGCCTCTATTATAATGGCGCCTTCCTACTTGCAACACGGCTGACGTCCTCCTTGCAACACGACTGTTGTGAGGAATATTAGCAGCAGCGGAGATGGTGGTGAGAACGACGGCAGCGGGGATGAAGGATCCGCACCAACTTCAGACAGCGGCCGTTCATCAAGTGACGATGAGAACGACGGGTGAGAAACTTCAATCTTGGCTCAAATATTATCAACGAATACATAAATATATCTGTCGATGTGTTTCTCATGGATTGAAACGTCATGTAGCTGCACCAACGGGCCCACATCGCATTATATATGTGCTTTATCCTCGGCAGTTGGTGATCCTACGGTGCAGTACTTGGCGGGCGGTTATACACTGTAAGTGATTGATATCAATCGGTAGCGCCTGGCATAACTCGTACACTGATACCGCCGCCGCATACCCATGGCCGTCAATCCACCGCCTAATATTGTGCACCACCAAAATAGCAGTTGATCGTTTTTTCATACACATCCTAGTTTCGGACTGTGGGCCATCTTTGCTTTTGTCACGATTTTGTCTGACTCACGAAGCGGCGATCAACATGAACCTGCTGAAACTCACTGCCTACAGAGCCGTTTCAACACGCCTAGCGTGTGGCCAGGACAGGGCGGGGAAATGGGGTTATCCAAACCGTCGTCCATCCAAGATCCCGTCAGCGCTATACTGGACCACAGCGATACCGACTCGGCTGCGGCACTGTAAGTTTGAACACCGTAGGATGCCCAAAGCAGGAAACTACACCATCTTTTGTATTGTCAATTGGATTCTGTCCTGCTACCGCTAATTGTGTTCGTAGATGAAGCTGCGTACAAGATATGTCCCTTGTTTTTGTCCCTTTTTTTTTAACTTGTATCTATTTCACCCTCATTTACTCCCAATTTCACACGCATTGCTCCTTGACCGCCGGCCCTGCTTCTTTCCTGACTCGACCACTTTCCTTGCTCCTTCACTAACCACACACAAAAAACGGATGCACTATCCGACAGGCTCTGGAGGAATGCAAGGCCAACCATCTCGGCACTGAAGGGTGCGGCTTTTTTGAAGAAGTCGCTCGATGCTAGTATCTACAAGAACTACGCAGTTTCCATGGACGCCGGCAGAAAGTTTACCATCAGTAACGTTTACGTTTTCATGCCGAAAGTCGTGGCTTTGCTCGGCGCGAAAAGAGTGGGCGTTACAGCCTTCGAAAACAAGAGCATTTGCCAGTACAGCTACAGGGATGGGGTGGATGCAGGCTCTCTGTATGACCTGGTAAACGGTTCAACTCAAATTCCGGACTCGGAAGGTGTGTCACGTTGGGGTTCAGGAGCAACCAATGATTCAAACGGCCGCTCGACAACAAGGCGGTCGAATACCCGTTGACGGTCTTTCTCGTGGACCGAAGTGAATTATGAAGTGCTTGTGGTTGGGTATGAAGGTTGGTCTTTTATTTTTGTGACGAGATGTGACGATCTCTGACGCGGGTTCAGTGTGGAGCTAGTCCGACCACTGTGTGCAGGTTGGAGCCGCTTCGCTTCTTCAGTCTGTTTCCTTCCTTATCCTTCCTTTCTCTCTCAGTCGCTCGCTATCGCTCACTCCCAGGCAACACCAAGGAACACCAGGCAAGATACTGAGCAAGGTGGAACGCTTGCACTCGCTTGCTACTGCTAGTAACCATTGTACTGCTACCTGCCTAAAGTCGGAAGACTAGGAACCTGGGCAGGTGGTCGGGATATTCCTGAAAGATATACCCGCCCAGATGGTATCTTAGTCCAAGGGTCCAAATACCCCACCCTGAGGGGACATATACGCAGAGGCTAGAACCTGAAGAAGGGGAAATAACAATCCATCTGAGGCATCTACTCTAGACTCGAGGATACGGAGCCTCACAAGCCTCTCCCACACCTCTACGTGGATTTCAAGAGAGCTACGCTCTCGTCTAGCAAAAGGGCATAATTGAAATAAGGGAAAACTGGGGCAAGCAGCGTGCAGGCTGACAGTGGCTTTGAAAGCTGAGCAAAGAAGTGCGGAAAACGTCCCAAGATAAAAGCAGGGGCAGAGCTACATAAGCAAGCAGATACAGAGCGAAGAAAAAGCCGGGGGGTCTATCGATTGCAAGGTGGTCACGAAGAACGACGGTGTGACGCCAGGATAGTTCCGGATACATACGCAAGAAAAGCACAAGAAAAAAGCTCAAATTAATACGAAAGCAGAAGAAGCAAAAATAGCCAGAGACAGCGGCGCAGCGGGAGCGGGCTAGAAAGCGAGAGCCAGCAAGTACGGTGCTCCGCGCGCGGTCCAATAAAATGGGGGGGGCGACAAACAGGCGGCGGTTGTCGGAGTGGACGCTGAAATATAAAAAATGGAAATATAGTGGACCAGGCCCAAGATCAATATCATTCTCGAAAGCTCAAAACGGGGGTGTCGATGTCGTAGGCTACGGGGGTCGACAGTAGAAGACACGAGCTGCGGGGGAGCAACAACAATACGTGCTCGCAGGAGCTCAAAAGGTACAAGAAAAACACGGCACGGCTACAGAGGAAAGTAGGCAGCATGGTCGAGCGCCAGACACAAAAGCGTAGGCCAAAACTTCTCACGCCAGCAGACGGCTGTAAGAGCGAGATGTTTGGGTGGCAACGGTGTCCAAAAAGAAATAAGGCTATAGCGTCAGATGCGCAAGAAGTAACACAAAAACAAACACAAAAAACGATACAAAAGACAAATACAAGGTACAAACCAGCGCCAGGGTCGTAACCAGCCAGGGGCAGATTGCACCATGGTGGAAAGAGCTGCTGACATGGCGAGGGAATGTATGCAAACAAGAAAACAAGAACAGGCGGTTGCCGGTGTCCCAACAAGGTATTTTCACCGGGCAGTGGCTGAAGGCGGCGCTGTTGTTGCTGAAGCGGGCGCCGTTGTGGCCGAAGTTGGAGCTGTTGTGTCTCCTCTGGATTCGTCGACGTTCCTCCGGATGCCACGCATGAAGGAGCTGATGTGATGTACTTGCAGACACCAGGAACCGCAGACGGCGTGATGTTCAGAGCTGTAGTGGCCGGGGGCGAGGGAGATCTTGATCGGCCCGGGGTCGTCAAGGAAGCGGACGATGTAGAGGTCAGCAGTGGTGGTGTGCCGCGATATTTTGCCCAACCACCAGAGCGCGTCTTTGGCTTTGTACCAGAAGTAAGCTCCTACAGGTATGGCAGTGGCGCTGAAGCGGCGGATGTAGGTGTCGCGGGGCACGTAGGTGTAGCCAGGTGAAGACGCACGTTCTGCTTTGGAGCGGGAGAGTTCTCGAGCAGCGGCTCCTATGCGCATGTTGCGGTACAGACGGTTTTGTTGGCTGTGCTGATCCGGTGTGCCACACCAGTAGCGAAGGGTGTGGTGACGTGAGTGTTGTAGGTCGATTTCTCGTTCCCAGGAGGGCCGAAGCAGGCCTTGCCAGTGTGTTTGGTAGAGAGCGGCGAGTACGCCGCCGCGTCCGCGGACAGTTTGGTGGCCTGTGATTTTCTCTACTTCAAGGCGTTGAAGGGGCGTGGAGACGTCATCCGCGGTGACGTGGTACGGGGGGATTTGTTGGTGTAATTGTTGAGGACGTATCTTGTAAGGCCAGCAGGCAGGAAACGGGGTATGTCAGTGT